CTTGCTGACCATGGCACGGCGGGCCATCGCCATGATGGTGTCAAGGAAGCTGTCATCGCGTGCCCACTTTCCTAAGGTGAAATATGCAAGATACAAGATCAGTTTAATCGCAACAACGACACAACATTGTCCAAATCTGTCTCTGCAGGCACACAACAGGAGGAACACAGGGAACACCTTTGATTTGACTATTAACATTTTAAATGGTGAAGGCACTAGCAATTGGGGGATGGAGGGCTCTCAGGACATGATAGGGAGGCGTGTGGCGCAGTGGATAAGTGCATTGGTGTTCGGATCAGGGGAGCACAGGTTCAAACCCCACTGCAGTCAGCATGTCGTTGTGTCCCTGAGACACTTCACCCCAAAGTGCTCCTGTGGGGATTGCCCACAGTATTGAGTATGTAAGCTTTGGATAAAAGCGTCTAACAAGTGACATGTTCAAAAAGCTTTTGAATATTGAATAACAAACCAATGTGGTTTACTTGTTATCCACAGTTTAGCTGCCAAATGTTTTTTAGCAATGCTTTTCTTTGTGCTCCACATATCTAAATGTATAAAGTGTGTTTTCACCTCCGTTCCCTCCTGTTTGCTGCAGTATGGCAGCAGCGGTCAGGATGGTAGTCCTGATGGTGTCCGCTGACCGGGCACAGGGTGTAGAGCTGCCTCCTCTCAGCGGGGGGGAACTGAACGTGGAAACTGTGTTTCTCTGAGGGATCCTCCATGTAGTCTGAGAAGCCTTCTGAGGAAACAAGGTCAAACTATTTAGGATAATACAAGGAACAATGTTTAGGCAGTAAATAGAATTTCAATTACATTTCTACTTCAATGTGCAACAATATTAGAACATCAGTCTTTGTGGCATGCAGGTAATCAACTGTTTAAGCTTTTACCATTAACATGTAGAATGAATGTTGCAAATTACTTGAAATTATTGCAACTACAATCTATTGTTTACCTCTATGCATTAGCCACAGAGGTAGCATTATGTCCAGCTAGCATGCTAATTGCTAACGTTATATTATCGTTTTATCCCGGAGGGGAAAACTAGTTTCTAATCCTGAGAGAAACACCTCGCCTGAAACACACGATTAGTGCCATGAGTTAGTGAAGCAAATTACAGAACATTGCACACTTATTCACAAGTCAAAACGTGTTCATAGCGGGCATGGATGAGAATAGCTAGCTAGCTAGATGTTATTAGCCAGCTTGGACCTAACGTTAGCAAGTTCTAGCATGGCTAGCTCGATCTACTGAGCAAATAAAAGTACATCTAAGACCAGTATTGTGCAGATTAAAACAGTGCAGTGCATGTATTTTATTTTACCTTGGTAGTCGTCCCGACATGACTTTGCCAGGTCTGCTAACTTTGCAGAGCCACAGAAACTGCATTCAGTAGAAGCTTCTGAATGTGGCGCTTCGCGTCCTCCGAGTCAATCGCCAGAAGCGCAGACACATCCTCATCCCCATCACTCCACCGCTCCAATTGATTTATTTAGTGTTGCTATAATAACTGCTTTCACAAAAGGAATCTCTTCGTGTGTGCTGCGAAGCGAGGAAATACAATGGCCGCTTACAACAAAAAATTCTGAGTCAAACGGGCGTGGTTTGCATTCCGCACAGCCAATCAGACGTAGGAACTACTTTCTCCCACAACAGGCCCTGCTCTCTAGCAGGGCCTGAAAAGCCGGTCTGAAGAACTAAGTTGAGCTACTTTAGTTCCTGGGGCTTTTTGGTGTGAACGCAAATATATCGTAGTTCTGATGAACTATTGTGGGAAAAGTACACCAAAGTACTCCGGTGTGAACGCACCTAATGTCAAATGACAGTACAATTGACCAATCATATCTTCCCTCTAAATGGGTGGGCTTTATTTTCGCGGACTTTATGACAAGTTCCGCCCGCTGTGAGGTTTATGCATGTGTATAAAGTGGTGCAGTGACGTGTCCTAAAACCCGGAAGTAAGCTGCGCATGGGTTCCCTCCACAAAAAAGCAATGGGATTTCTCCATAGGATTTTGGAAAATAGCTCGAAATAAGGTCTGTGGAAAACGAACCTGTTAATGCACGTTTTGTTCAGCCGGATCATATCCACATGTCTACCCTATTTTTATAATTTTCGAATCATAAATCTAATCGATAGATTTATGATTAGCATAAGTTCGTTCATGATGGCTCATGTCAGTGATAATGATGACATCGTTGCGAAATTATTAACCGAGTCATTTTCAAGATTGAGTTACAATGATAAACTGGAGTGGCAAAGGAGGTATTAAAGTCACGGCTCGCCACTGCTGCACACAGTCCCTCACTTGATCAGAGCATCCTCTTTAGCAGCGGTCTGTTGTATGTGTATACTCTGGATGTTCAAATTGACCAATCAGAATCAAATATTCAACTTAGCAGTGTAATAATAAAGGTGAACACTAGGGCTGTCCCGAATACCATTTTTTGGGCTCCGGATATTCGGTAGTAATCAGCAGCGAATATTCGGATATTCGGCGCGCTTCAACACGTGTATTTCGGTTTATTCAAGGCATTAATTTTGTTATTCTACAGTATTGTTGTTTTATAGTTATTTGTTAATGTAAATAACCCAATTTGTGTTCTTCAAAATTGAAAAGGATATTGTGTTTGTTACTTTCATTGCAGTTGTATATGTCTTAAGTGTGATTTGGCTTAGCTTCCTATTTTGTATGGACATGCTTTTATTTTGAAGGAGAGTTAGCGCTGTTGACAGGAAGTTGTTGTTCCTATGGAAACAACGTGACGGACAAAAGGAGCGGAGATTAACGGAGAAAAGTAATATCTACATATAAAGACGGAGAAAGTAAAGGATAACGTTTATGGTTAAGTGTTAGCACCCCCCGAAGAGACACAAGCTCTTACGTTGATATTGGAGATTTCAATAAATTCAATTTGGGAGGCGCAGTGCAGCGCGGCTGCCAAAAAAAAAGGAAAAAAAAGAATATCCAAATAACGAAATTGAAAACTGAATAGTGGGCCAACGACCAAATATTCGGATATTCAGATATTCGGGTACAGCCCTAGTGAACACATGAAGGTGTAATGGTGCTGCGCTATTTCAAATATTCTTCCTCTCGCCTCCACATGCTGCAAGGATCTCATGAAGGATATAATGATAATACCCAGCAGCTGTGGACAGCAGATACAGCAGGAATCAATAATAATTCAGTGTTTGCTGTTACAGATATCGAGGCCTGTCCTCAGAATCTGATATATTCCGTTTGCGTGTACTGTAGTGTGTGTAATTCTATATTGCATTCATTTGAACCAGAGTCTGCCCTGTCATTTATTAGTTTGTGAGCTCTGCCTGGAGTTCAGACAAGGTTGTTGTTTTTAATTTGCAAATGTAGGTCATGGCTTTGGGTGGAAACACACACACACACACACACTGCAAGAAATAATTGTAACATTGCCCAAGTGAATCCTTCCTCTGTTGCACAGATGCATTGTGGGTAAGAGCCCCTTCCTGTCAGAGATGCCTTCAGGCTGTGACTCTGGCTGCGTCTCACTTTGGTTATTTCTCATTTCCTCGCTCCTCGGTCCTCGGTATCACCGGAAGTTGATTTGTCTGCGCCATCTTGAGTAGCGTCCCAGTGGCCTTATTTGTGCCGGAGGACCGAGGATCGAGGAGCGATAACGGAGGAGCGATAGTCGAGGAACTACAGGACCATTCTCCGGTGAAATCCTCAGATACTCGCCCCGCCCCCTTACTGTGTATCGCTCACTGATTGGACGATGCAGCGCATGCACTGATCTGATGCTTCTTGACATGAGAGCAGTTTCCCAGCGGAGTGAAGAAAACACATGAAACTCACGGGACTCACTCCTCAGTTTATACTGTGTTTTGTTTCAATGAATGCATCATTCAGTTACAAATATGTGATATATCTGAACAACAAAGTGGTGAAAAATTATTTTATTCATTTATTGGAAACATTTTCATGATCGCTTTTTTCGTTTTACATTTTTATTTATTGTCATTTCCATTCAGTCAGTCATTAAGTGCTATTTAACATGTTAATTTGCTACATATCCACACAAACAAAGTGTGCAATCCAATGAATGTTAATCTAACTGGGTTTTGATAGATAACATATCTCTTTTTCTTCTCTGAATTATTTTATTTATTTTGTGCACTCGGAGTGGGAGTGGGTAGGGTGTGGTTTGGAATTGGGCCTACGTGTTACCGTGCTGCTGGTTGAAGGGAAGTCAGTGCACGGTGGCCGGGGTTCACTCATGTTGTGTGTGTGTGTGTGTGTGTGTGTGTGTGTGTGTGTGTGTGTGTGTGTGTGTGTGTGTGTGTGTGTGTGTGTGTGTGTGTGTGTGTGTGTGTGTGTGTGTGTGTGTGTGTGTGTGTGTGTGTGTGTGTGTGTGTGTGTGTGTGTGTGTGTGTGTGTACACTGTATCTGCATGCTTACAGTGTCTATGTTACTTTTGCACAGATCTCAAACGGAAATCATGATTTTCTGCAAACACACACCTCAGTCACAACTTGCATATAGTGATCATTTCGCAATATGTCGTTTTTATTCTGGGAAGTGTGTGGATCTACTTAAGATCTCTCATTGGCTGTCCAACAACATAATTACTGACCCCAACCATTTCCTGAACAGCGAATATGAATGTTTTCCATCAGATTGGAGGTACAGAGTCCCACGATTTAATAAAGTTAGACTGAAGCACTCCTTTATGCACCAGTCAATCATCAAATCAAATACAGAGCTAAATCCCAGATCTAGTGTTAGAGGGTCTTGAGCATGTTTCTCATCAGTGATCGTGATGCTATTTTAAATGTCTGTTCTTGTCTTAAATATTTGACCTTGTTGATGTTACAAATGGAGCTTCTGTGATTCAACAAAAATGTCAGACTCTAACTGAAAAGTGTTATCGTATCATATCATCGAAAAAGAATGTGTATTGAATAAATGATCCTAATCTTTAACCCAGTGTCAATGTATATCCACATCCCCTCCTCAGCATGGGGATGAGCCACGACGACGACCACGCCACCTGCACCGGTCACTCCCACATCATGTCTGGGGAGTGGGTGAAGGGCAGGAACCCCAGCGACCTGTCCTGGTCCTCCTGCAGCAGAGACGACCTGGAGAACTTCCTCAGGTGAGACACAGCTACAGGCACTACTTACTGACCAGTGGGGGAACATAAACACGTACGTTCACTCAGTTTCAAGTTCATTATTTCCAGTGTTGGGCAAGTTACTTTTAAAAAGTAACTAGTAATAGTTAAAGTTACAGCTCTCAAAAAAGTAACTAGTTACTTTATTAGTTACTAAATTATAAAAGTAACTAGTAACAAGTTACTTTACTTTACTTTAAAAATAATAACAATAAAAATACAAGTTTTTGTGTTGTTCTGTGGCACAGTAAGACGGTTGAGACGGTGGGGTCTTTGGCGACTAGTTTTATAGCCCCATGTACATTAGTTAGGTGCTTCAGGAGATTGGCATTGCTGTTATTCGATGTGGACAATGCTTTCTGTCCTGCACACAGTTTACATTTGACTGTAATATTTTTTGCGTCCTTTATCCCCACAAATTGAAAATAGTGGTTATATCGCCAAGTTGTAAATGCGCTGCTGCTCTCGCTGATACTTGCATCTGCCATTGTGTGTGTGTGTGCTGGTGGTGGGCGTTGCCGTGTATGTGTGTGTGTTAGCAAGTGTTTGTGTATTTTCCCCATAAGGCAAGACCCGCCCAACTCTGTCTCTGATTGGCTTACCCTGAAATGTTACCCCGCGTTAACCAATCATCACTCCTCTCTGGTCACTTTCACTTTTCCATGGTACTGTGAGAGGACATAACTGTATTCGCCTGTAAGTTACATCCGCAGGGAGATTCGGTTCAGTTGGATCACATAATGTAACGCAGTAACGCACCCATTTAAAGGGGACCTATCATGCAAAATGCACTTTTGTACGTCTTTTATACATGAATATGTGTCCCCGGTGTTCCAGGGAACTCACCAAGTGTCAGAAAACACAACCCTCTCTATTTTCCTCCATACCCTAATCTCTAAAAAAGGGGCTGCAACGGATCTGATACAGACTGATCCAGATTTGAACACTTCACTGACGTCACAGAAGTGGCGCTACGGCTATTGGGCCATCTCCACCTATCAGGGGAATGTGGGGTTGTGCCACGGCCGGCCATTGCCGCTCGAAAGCGCTGGAGACGCTGTAGTACATATGCCAGGCCTGTAAGTGGCGCTGTAGTCTGCCACAAAAGCAGCGAAGAAGACTTCCCGCCCATAGTTACCATGGTTACCCTTCTGTTTATTGTCCGCTGTGGATTTTTTTCTCCCTCCCCGAGGCAAGCGTTTGCTCCTGCTGCTTTAATTCAATGCAATCCCTCCCCGTCGAGGCAAGCACTGTAATTCTCTCCGTTTAGTCCACCAGCAGATGACAAACACCCACCTCTCCGCCTCTTCCAAGGAACGAGGGGACCGTGCGGCAGAGTTTCAGTTTCAGTTTCAACCCGGACAAAATTAGAAAAGTGCCGGTCAAAGGTCTTCTTTGTTATTTATTGAGCTTTAAAACAAATGAATAACGACTCTATATAGGCCTATAATAATATAATAAAACCATAGACTGTATATATAAATAAAACACGGAGGACGGAGATCTTTTTTTCTCCCCCTCTTGACTTGATCAGAGCACGGCTCCCCTCTCCTGCAGGGGGGCGTGGTCTCACAGAATCAGCCCCGTAGACAGCAAACAGCACATAGAGCGAAATGAGGCATGGCTAAAATGCATGATCTGTTTGGTATTTTGAAAACAGAAACGTATAAATATACCTTATATAGGTATGACCCTACAATATATCATTTAAATATAGCATGATATAGGGCTGTGCAATTAATCGTATTTTAATCGCAATTACGATTTTGGCCTGCCACAATTACGAAAACAACATAATCGGAAAAAACAATTATTTTGTTTTGCTTGGTTGTGACAGTGCACTGCAACATATTTGATCTAATTAATTTTGGTCTAATTTATCATATTTATATATGTTTAGTAGCTTGTGGAAGTGCGCTCCAAAATATTTGTTGATCTCGTTTATTGGTATTTATTATTTTGATATTATTTATTTAAAGGGGACCTATCATGCAAAATGCACTTTTGTACGTCTTTTATACATGAATATGTGTCCCCGGTGTTCCAGGGAACTCACCAAGTGTCAGAAAACACAACCCTCTCTCTTTTCCTCCATACCCAAATCTCTAAAAAAGGGGCTGCAACGGATCTGATAAAAACTGATCCAGATTTGAACACTGTCCTGACGTCAGGACAGTGGCGCTACGGCTATTGGGCCAACTCCACCAATCAGGAGGAGACAGCCACGGCCATTGCCGTTTGAAAGTGCTGGAGATGTTGTAGTACATATGCCAGGCCAGTAGATGGTGCTGTTCTCACAGAATTAGCCCTTGCAGAGCAGAGCTAAAAAAAAAGTGCAAATTGAGCGAAATGAGGCATGGCTAAAATGCATAATCTGTTTGGTATTTTGAAAACAGAAACGTATAAATATACCTTATATAGGTATGGCCCTACAATATATCATTTAAATATACCATGATAGGTCCACTTTAAATGTAAATATAAATGTATCATTTATTTTTGTATTGGTTTTTCAGTTGAATTATACGTTCAGGGTAATCAACAGTTAAAAAGATACTGTTCAAATTATTATTTGTATTTGTTTTAAAGTTCAATAAATGGATTTTTTCAAAGTCAATGAATAATCGTATTTTATAATCGTGATATCAATTATTGACCCAAATAATCGTGATTATGATTTTTGCCATAATCGCACAGCCCTAGCATGATAGGTCCACTTTAAATCACAGTAACTATAACGGCGTTACTGAATGGGAATAGGTAACTAGTAACGTTATTAGTTACCGCAAAAGGTAGTTGCGTTAAAGTAATGCGTTCGTTTGAAACGTGTTAGTCCCAACACTGATTATTTCAGATAAAACCTGTTAAGCCCCAAGCCTGTTTTTCAGGTCTCAGGCTCGAAAATGACATTTCCAGAACAAATGACCATAACTACACTTCTAAAAGGGGAAAATTAATAATCTTTTTTCTCAAAGTAATGATAAACCTGTGAGTTGGATGTAGAAAAGTCAATATAGATGTTTTTTATTTTAAAGAAAATTCAGATTGAACATAGTAAAAAACTGTAAATTATAGTGTCTGTCCAAAAATTATTTTGTACTTATAGTGAAAACTACCCTTGGATGATGGTAAGGTAGACTAAAAGCTTTAGGAATCCAAAGTACAACATATAATAAGTACCCTGTATCAAGATTGATGCAAAACAAGTTACATTTGACCTTTTTAGAGAAATTTTGCAAAAAAAAAAACACTTCTGGGGTCATTTGGGTGGATTTTCCATATCTCTGGCCCCCCTTGCTCGATTTTGATGGTTGACATCTCTTTCTAACCGTCAGAGCCAATGGAATCGAGGGAAAGTTCCCCATACACACACAGGTTACCAAATAAGGAGTGAGAGAGACGCGTAGAAAAACCGGAAGCTGCGCTAGCCTCTGGTGGCTGCCATTAGCAGCACATTTTTCTTCTCTGATTTTTGCATAAAAATTGAATTATGGATTATCAATAATTTTTTCAAAGTGACAGACACATTGGATTAACCTATGGATTAACCTTCAGCCGCGTTTTTTCTCGTTTTAATGCCATTGAACACGACTTTTGATCAGAATAACAGCTAAAGTGAGCATATCTCCGTGTTTTGCTACCTAAAGCTACGTCGTGTGTTGTCTGTATTTGCTTCCCCTGTCACGAGTTCAGATCGCTCAGTGATGATCCTTATATTTCTATAATCTGTGGAATCTCAGGATGTTATCTAAGCTTGTTTGTGCAGATCCAATACGTATATCGATCGGTATAGCTAGAGTTCTGTGCTAACGGCCTTAATATTTTTTTGCCCGTGGCTAATTCAGAGGCTCAGCGTTAGCTCAGTTAGCTAAGTTTCTTCCCGTTACATAGATATGAAACATTCATAGTTTATTACATTTTAAGAAGCCCTCAGACACTTTTGCTTGCAGATGTTGTATAGAAGTGGCAAAGGGGGCAACAGGTCATGGTGGTGGGCTGTTACAGACCCCCCTCAGCTGTCAAGGACTCCTTGTCTTCACTAGCACATCTTTTATTGCAACTTGACTCCAAGGAAATAGTGCTACTTGGAGATTTTAACTGGGACTGGTTAACTGCAGTATCAGAGGATTTAAAAAACCTTTGTATCTCTTTAAATGTTACTCAGATTGTTGACAGTCCTACTCGCCCTAACATTAAGTCCCCTAATAAATCCTCCCTAATTGATCGCATTCCAACTATATGTTATGCTACGGACAAAATTCGTATTATTATTTAGTGGAAATGTTGATACAGCATTCCAACTATATGTTATGCTACGGACAAAATTCTTATTATTATTATTCCATCCAATTATTTTGTCCGTCTTCTCCTCCCACATTCAACATCGCAGAAACTCCGTTCAAACATCAAAACGTTCAGCTCGGTCGGGAATCGATGGCTATTACTTTTATCATTCATAACTTTCATAATTCCAGAGATACATCCCATAATTCATCCAATTTTTAACATGGAAGTCAATGGAGACATTCTTCAGACTTCAACAAATCTTCATGCGACTTCAACTGCTAACTGTTCATTCATACTTTCACTCAGAAACCTCATTCTAACTTTAAAATGTTACACATCTTTCTGACATTATTCGTGTAACACAACTTTTAAATCTTATTCTTACTTTTAGAGATATTAAACATTGTTCAGACCTTGTTAAAGAGGTTTTCTTCCAATTTTAACATTAACTAGAGTGCGTGATGTCACAGCTAGAGGGTAGGAAATCTTGAAATTTGCCTTCATATATTTTTTTAAAACTGCCATAATTCTCAAAACAAAATAATTCCTACATTCCTGAGACATAATCTTTCATGAGAAACGTAGGAAAACATCTCGTAGCTGTAAGTCCAATGGACACGGTCCGATCGTCCCCCAAACTTCGCTTGTATATCACCGGTCCAGCCCTCAACAGCTCTACGTCAATTATGGGGTTT